CCCCAAAACCCCAAAACCCCAAAACCCCAAAACCCCTTGTCTCAAAACCTTCCTTGAAATTTGTATTAAAAGATATGCTGCGATGTTAGCCCTGGCAAAGGAAACTTGTAAGCAAATTCTTCTACTTCTATGGCTAAATCTTTCAATGCAATAGCTTCTGTGTATACATTCGTACCTGGCTTTTCCAATGAGTGAGAGATGTGAATCATTTCATCTAAGTATCTAGCAACTTCTTTGCAGTCATCATGCTGGTATCCTCTTGCTGAAATTACATTGGTTCCTAGCCTTATCCCACCTTGACCTTTATAGTTCATAGTTTTATCTGAAGGTAAGGTAGTGCAGTTAAAATTGAATGTTTAGAGCCTCTCCTATGGTCATTACGTTAGAAGCTGGTATCCCATATGGCTTGACATCCCACATCATGATATTAGTATCAGTTCCTCCAGTAACGATTTTGTTTCCTCTTTTTGATAATTCACTGGCAATAGTTCGACTATTATCTACAGTTCTTTCACAGTATTCTTTATATTCTTGAGACTTGCAATATTTGAAAGTCATTGCGAGAGATCCAATACAATTATTCTGAGGGGCTCCCATTATCCCTGGAAACACAGAGGCATCTACCTTTTCAGCATACCTTTTCTTTCAATAAATTACTCCAGCTCTTGGACCTCTCATAGATTTACTGGTAGAAGCTGTAACGATATCTGCATGAGGGAAAGGAGCTTTATTTACTCCTGCAATTTTTAAACCAAATCCATGAGCTATATCTGCCATCATTATAGCTCCTGTTTCATCGCATATTCTTCTAAATTTCTTCCAATCTATCTCTCTCGGATAAGTTGATGCACCAGCGATTATTACCTTGGGTTTACATTCAAGAGCTTTTCTATATGCATCCTCGTAATTGATTGTGCTGTCTTCATTCACATGGTAATATTCGAAGTTATAAACTTTGCTATAGAGTCCTGTTGGGTTGTTATTTTCATCTTGAAGTCCATATGTATGATGTCCACCTCCAACTTTTGTACAAAGGGCAAGAATAGTATCCCCTGGCTCACAAATAGAATTAAATGCAGCCAGATTGGCAACGCTTCCTGAAAGAGTTTGGACGTTTACATGCCACTGTTTATCATCAAGCTCAAAAGCTTCAAGAGCTCTTTTACAGCAAAGTCTCTCTATTTTGTCGATAGTCTCATCCCCATTGAAAAACCTTCCATTTGGGTATCCTGGAGAAGATTTATTGCCTAGGATTGTAGTTCACTCATTTATTCCAGCAACAGGGATGTTAGAAGAAGCAATTAAATCTATAGATCTTCTTTGTCTTTCAGCTTCTTCGTTAACAAGCTCCATAACCTCTTGGTCGTAGGTCTGAATATCGATTATTTGATTATTATAATTTTGAACAGGAATCCCTTCTTTATTCAAATGAACATATTCATCAGCATTAGTGAAATGTACAGGCATATACTCTGGAGCTAAAGGAGCAGCTGCGTTTGCTCCTGCTGGTCTTCTCGCTCTCTTCGCTAAAGTCTTGGATAGGTTGCTAATCCTTAAGTTCTTAGTTAACATATATATTTTATGCTAAAATCTTATTTTAATTCAACAATCTCTCAAATATAAGGGGTTTTGGGGTTTTGGGGTTTTGGGGTTTTGGGGTTTTGGGG